CCCCAAAACCCCAAAACCCCAAAACCCCTAAAAATTAGCACAGATTGAGAATAATAATATTTATCATGGAAGTTACCACTACTCCAAGGTAATTTTTAGTGAGAAATTTCTTTACCTTGTGGACTTACATCATAGATGCTGATAAAATATAGAACTCCAAGAGATAAGTCCATCATCAACTTTTATGACCTAAAGCAAGTGATGGAATATAGTGAGAATCATAAGAAATCAATCAACAAACAATTAGCGGAATTAGAGAAATCCTTGAAAACTGAAGATCAAGAAGAAGAATTCAACACTGAAAAGCAAGATCCAGATAAGCTCATTGCTGAGAGAGCCACTGAAACTCAGAGTGAGATCAGGAGAATACAAGATTATAACAGAGAAGAGACAGAGAGAATTTTGAATATGAAATTAGTATGATTAGTTTTATACATTAGGATCCTGCTATTCAAAATTTAAGTGACGAACTCAAAGAGTGCAATGCTAGTTCAACCATTTTCAAGCATCAAGAGGCTGAGAGTGAGCAAACTCAGGACTATACACCAGAAAATCTTGGAACTAATAAAGTGAAGACACCTTCTCAGAACTCTCTATCAGATCTTTGTTCGTCTCCTTTCAACTCTCCTAGTGCTAAAGGATTTCCTGTAGCCAGGTAGGTACTCACTTTTACTCCTTTTTGCTTAGTTGAAATATTATCTAGACTACAAGAACCTTCTTCTGCCTACATTTCATCACCATCTTCGCCAAAGACTTTTGAAGACAAGCCCAGTCACTCTTGCGACCAAGAGTTCTTGCAGGGATTTTTGGAGGAACTCTCAGAATTTAGCTGTAAGCCAACTTCTGGTCTTGTCTAATTTCAAATCTAGACATTGAGCAATATCTCAGTCAAAAAGGTAATATTTATGGGAAATGAGAGTCCTTCAAGGCCACAACTCTACTAGTCAGAGCCTGGGTTTTATTTTTGACTATTTAGGCTCAAATCCCAACAATAAGGCTACCGAATTCAGAAGGAAGAATGCCAAGTTTCCTTTAAGAAAAGACTAGCGCCAATTAAATATTTATGTGTGGATTTCAGTTCTCAGTGGTCTTAAAGGGGTTTTGGGGTTTTGGGGTTTTGGGG